GTACCACATCACTATTATTATCTCACCTTGTCAAGTCATTTTAAAGTCCAAGACAAAGAAAGCAACTTCTCACTCCCACACTCCTACACCAAAATATTTAAAAAATACTTGATCCACCAAAAATCCATCAATACTCAACCAACTGACCTTTTGGTTATTCTCAACATCAAAATCTACACATAACCACTCTAAATACTCAATATCCTTATTCCTAACGTCCTTATCTTTCCACAGTATTTATACCCATCATATCTCAGCATATAAACCTCTCTTAATCTCCAAACAAAATTAGCAACCCACCCCCTAACCCTATTGTCCCTTAGTAGATCTCAATTATCTTTGTATCTCCATCTTCCAAACGCCTTCCAAGCTTGAAATCACTTCTATTGGGTTCCCCTACATCCCCTCACATCAAATAAAAATATTCATCATCAAATTCCACCTTAAACACCATTATTTTTTGTTACATCATAAGAGCAAAGAGGGTGATTGATGCTAAGAGCAAGGACAAAAAAGTTAAGACTTAGATAAGGTTACTGTGTTACGTAATCATATCTTTATATATTTTGTCAAACGACAACCTTGAACATTAGTGTAGCTATTTCCTTTGGTCTAATGTCTCCCAGTAATCTTTTTTTTTATTATTATGACTTAGCATTGACGTATCCATGATTCTAATGCCTTAATTATGGCTAGCGGTTCAATGTCCTTCATGCAACATTTCTAAAACAAAAGCAAAAAAAAAAAAAATTCACGTCTTTTCATATTTTCTGAGATTATTCCATCATAAACGTTTACTTTCACATGTGTGTGCCTGCGAATTTATGTGAGTACGCGCATGCATGTCGTGCCATGAATTTATCATGGAAGATCAGAAATTGATCAAAATTAAACAAATAGTTTGCTTTAATAGATATCAAATCAGGCCAGCTTATAATCGAACAAGGCTTAACATATTGGAATGTATTATTTTAGCCGATCTTAATCGAGAATCAGAATGACTCAATATCCAATACTTATCAGGACTAGATATAAGAAACAGGTATCAATTGTAAGTGGCTAGGTATTGATCTAATGATCAGATAGGAGCATCACCCGGATTAAAAAGCATTCATTACGTCTTTATATCCCAAATCATCAACCCAAAAACACGGTTTAAAAAAGTGCTCTGAATAATTAATCCAAAACAGCCCGTGTACGAATCGCAACTTGACATCTCCTACACAACCATAAACGTTCAAAAAGAAGAAAAAAAAAAATATTAGCAAAATTCCTATAAAGTTGCATCCACGGTCCAAGAATCAATGCGAAGGGTAAACAAAAACTGAAGAAAAATGCCGATTCGTATGCAACGGAATTGAAATGTGAAAAGAAAGAGTATAATCAGAAGTGGATCGGTCGTTATTGACCTGAACGAGCCAAAGCGCCGTGGTGGTGGCCGCTACTCCCCATGTGACCGCGGCGGAGACGTCCGTCGATTGGAGACGGAGCCCAGGCCTCAGAAACTTGAACAATCCAGATCTCGAAGCCACTGATCCTGTCGCCATGAGTAATTGTAACCAAAAGCTGAACAAAATCTCCAACAACAAGCAAACCCTAGAAGGCCCGAAGAAAAGTTACGAGAACGAAGGGAGCTGTACCAACAATTTATTTCTTTTCAATTAAAAAGACGCATATGGTCACCGCAGGTTGCGTAACAATTTTCACCGCGAGCGAGCGTGTGGTTGGCTGCGGATAAATGGGACTGAATTTTTTTTTTTTTTTTATGAAGAGGAACCATCCGCTGTCACATCCGACTTCGTGAGTGCGTTTGGAGGTTCATAAACCCCGGCCAACCTAATGGGCCACTCAAGTCACAAATTCATAGCCGGCGCTTTGGAGCCCCCACCTAAGGGCCGACTGCTGCTCGAGTGAATCGAACTCGGGATTGGGGGTTCCCAACATAGCTAAGCATCGGTGGGTATAGGACTGAATTTGATTTATGGTAGGAAAATTAATACATTTTTTACTTAAGTGAAATCTTGAGTTGGAGTCGTTGGGCCAATTTTAACTCAATATATCACTTAGCTTTCTTATTACTTCTTAAAAGTAAATTTTTAATACAAAAATTAAAATTTTTGTACTAAAAAATAATTTTTTTACTAAAAAATTGCTTTAAGATACAATAAGAATGCCGTCCCAAATGAAGCCGAAGGCTTCTTTTAGGATAACTTTTTGCTATTTTTTAAAGCAATTTTTTTAATTTGATAATTTCTTAAACTAAAAATTTTGTTACAAAAAAAACAGCTTTAGAAAACAATAAGAAAGTTATCCCAATGTTTTGTTTAGGATAGCGTTCTTATGCTTTTTAAAACAACATTTTAGAACAAAAATTTTCATTTCAATACTTTTTTGTACTAAAAAATTGCTTTAGAAAGCCGTATGAAAACTATCCCAAAAGAAACCTAAAAATATTGATTCATCGGACATATGAACAACATCAATGTATTAATTATACCGAAGGTATCACTAAGAGTTCCTAATGATCATAAAGAATAATGAATGCAATTCTCATCACATATTATTATATTTAAGAATATAAATGCACCTAATTGACCAAATATGTCATATATTTGATGACATATATCAAGTCCATGTAGTTAGGTTTCATTGTAATTGTTCCTTTCCACTTCGACTCGTAGAACCCTCATTGTGTGTCATGAAGGATTTGTCTATTAGACCTTTGGATCTATAATATGCCATCTCATTTGGTATTGTGAGTTCTCTTTATTTATATATCGATAAATGGAGTAATTTATTTAGTCTTTTTAACAAAATTCTTATTATTTGTGTATAAGTCTTTATTCAATGTCCAACATACTTGGTTGACAAAATATATTAATTCCATTTTATTTATAAACTCAATCTTAACATCCAAATTTTGCATGTTTCTGAGTTGATTATTCTTTAAGTCTTTAACCATAATAAAAGGCTCATATAATTGATTAGTAGGGGGCATAGATTAACTACCTGATGATGTGAACTCATCTTGGTTCATTTCTCTATGCTCGTACTCTTCTTCTTCTTCTTCTTTTTCTTCTGCTTCCATAGTCCATCCTACTCTCCATCAACATATATGGCGGTCTTATTCTCCTTCACAACCTAATTAGATGAGGCTACAAATTAAGTATATACCATAAAATTATAAAATTCTTTCTTTTTAGTTATATACACCAATGTAGAGTTAACCATCATCTATAAAAATAATCAATATGAAATTTAAGTTAGTTAAAACCTGTATTTAATCTAAATTAATATTTGAACTATGATAATGTGCGTATGATTTACATCCTTATTGGTAAAAAATGACAATAAATCTTTACCTTGCAGCACCATGTTGCTTTTCCAACTGAACATCTTGGGGGCTTTCTCTTTTAAGGAGATCCACATATTTCTTTCAGAACTTTATTCTTCTTCCCAACTTTAGTACATTCTAGTCGATGTGAATCATGTCTTAGTTCAATTTCTTAATTCTCTTCTCCCATGTCATCCTTCCCAATAAGTATGCAAAATTATCTCCCTTTTCTTCAGCTATTATTGGGATATCCGTAAAAAAACACGATCATTCTTGCTATTAAAGAGTAGCCCATGAACAATTAAATGTTACTTAGATTTCATACATCTTATCTAAATGTGTACTCCATGAAGAACTTTTCAAGTTCAACTTTTTTTTTGAAGTTGTTATTACTGTTCAGATAAATCTCAATGAGTCTTCTTGTTGTGATAATTAACTAAAATTTCTTCTTATACATAAATTCACCAAACCTAATCTATTAATAGAAGCTAACAAGTTATGGCACCCGGGAACTACAATTTTGGTAGGATGATATAATACTTGAAGAGATATTGTTTGGTCCTATCAAAGAGACCATATGTTTCAAACTACTTGATCACTTTCCTTATCACCCCAGCTCTGCATGTCATTATTGCAAAGTAATGACTTTTCATAAGAATAATTAGTCTTGTCATCTATATACATATCAAAATAAATCAAATGAATCAATTCTATATTAGAGAATGAGATAAAATAAGGTTTAATCCTCAATTGAATGATATTATGTCTATGAGATAGATTACTATAATAAGAAAAGTAGCAAGAAAGATCAAATGAGCTATGAGATAGATAAAAAAATTTGGAAGAGAAGTGCTTTAACTGTAGCATTGTTCGAAAGTTCTGGTCATCCATCATGTTACAATGTAAGAATATCTTCATATGAAAATGAGTTTGGAAGCTATTTCTTCTAATAAAAATATAAGTGACATTTATATTCAAATAGATGCATTATAAGATATATATAGCCATAATCCCCTTTGAAAATGAGTTTGAGTATATATCACTACTTTATCAACAAAATAGCTAAGTGATATTTCTTCCATCACTTCTCATAGCTTCTTAAATTCAAAAATAAACTCTACTAATATTATTTTAAAATTTTATTATTAACAAAATTGGGGTTTTAATGAGATTAGAAAGTTGGAGTAATTTAAATAAATTAAAGGCAGTTTGTTTAAATATTTTTAATGAATATTATATTATTTTCTTAAGACAAAAGATATGTTTTACAAAATAAATTTATTTTATTTAGAGAAATTTCTATTTTGCTATATTAATAAACAAAAATTAAAAAAATTAAGTAACAATTACATTAGTATTAATAACAAATAACATGATGTTATAATCATTATTTATTATTTTTAATAATTGCATTATTTTTATAAGAAGATATTGAACCACATACAATTTATTTTATAGATAATATTATCATTTGTAATTTTTTTATTCATATAATTCTATTATATATGATAAATTCATTTCAGAATTATTTCATAACAAAAAAAAAAAATATATATAGTTTGAAGTTTTTTCTTCAGCACCCTATTTTTGAAGCAAATTAGGTGTCCATCTCTTACGAGCCGTCGATTTTGATCTGGACGGTCCACATCTCCGATGTTAGGGTCCCGTGGAGTAAAACTAGGGTTCTGTAGTATGTATAAATCATTGTGATCAATCGGTAAGCGTAACGCATCACACGCCGAACTGCCGGAATTCACAGGAGAGGAACTGAGAGGAAGGGATCCCTCCTCTTTGGAATCCAGAAATACGCCATGGGTAAGCCGAGTTCCTTTTTTCCTTGGCAAATTTTCATCTTTTGTACGGTATTTTTCTTGTTCTGACAAATTTTTCGTTTTCATAATGTAATTCGTTTTTTCTTTTTTTGTTTTGGTTGTTGTTTTTGCTCTGTAGGAAAGGTGCATGGGTCTCTGGCTCGCGCCGGTAAGGTGAGAGGGCAAACGCCGAAGGTTGCAAAGCAGGACAAAAAGAAGAAGCCTAGGGGGAGGGCTTATAAGCGGATGCAGTATAATCGTCGCTTCGTGACTGCAGGTGATCTGCTATGCCTTTTCTTATATTGAATTATATTGTGGCTTCGATATTTGCTACTGATCTTCATTGTTGTTCTACAGTTGTTGGCTTTGGAAAGAAGAGGGGGCCTAACTCGTCCGAGAAGTAAAGGTTGGAAATTTAAAATTATACTATTTGTAGGAACTGTAAGATTTGCGTCTGCTGTATTCTGAGATGTAATGGACTAATTTCATATTTAGGGATGGTACATGAATGTGAAGACCTAATTTGTTATGTTATTCAATGCAATTTTCAAAGCATGGAGTTCTAAGGAAATTCATGAAGCTATTTTAATGTTTATGTTTACTTGTAAAATCAATTCAAAGGTCAGAGGAGCTTATAACATCATAAATATACTGTCAGAAGGTGCTACTCGTTGAGATGTGTCCATTGACATCAATATCACTTTTTTTGGGCCTCAAATAGGTTAAAATGGCTTGAATGGAAGAATCTAGAACTGAGATCGACCAGCTTGGGTTGATCTAGCCTGGAGTCAACCAATGCATGAGGGCCACCAGCCCTTCGATTTGGGTTGGAGAGGTCTTTTTGAGAGTAATGCATTGATGTCATTCTAGTAGGCCTACACACCTTCATTATTGTGTAGTTTACTCGTAAGTTCTTAACTTCTTGGTGATTTTGAGGCCTTGGTGAACCTTTGTTTGTGATATGTTTGTTGCTATTAACTACTCTTAAATCGACGAACGTTTGATATAAAAATGACAAGGTATTTTCTACTAGCTTTAAATTTAAGCAATGAATATTCTCATAATTGGTGCTGTGAATATGACCATTGAAATGTTGATCTCTCACTTTTGTTTTACTCATCGTTTTAGATCTACAAGTTGTCCTGTTTGGTTTGACAATTCGAGACATCACTGATGACAGCCTCCATTGAACTGCCAATGTCGGATCATTGTTGTCCATTCAAGGCAGCCTTGGTCTTGGCTGGACAATCGTCTCAACACATGTGCAATATCATTTTATCTCATTTCGATAATTGGATAGTGTAATCAATTCCATTTGTTGTTGATAATTTTAGGTAATATTTCAAATTTTTTCGAATTAGAACCACAATTCGCTTTTAAAAATCTATAAATAGATTTCAATTTTACTCATTTTGAGATATTATGAGGTGTAGGTATTTTTAAGTCTAAAGGATCACAAGTTTTCTAAGAAATTACGCGAGTGGTTTTCATTAAGGAGTTGTAGAGTTATCTAAGTTTGGAGGAGTTCAAATCTAAGGGAAACAGTATGAGCTATCTTCATTGAGACATTGGATTTTCCAAGATTGGAGGAGCCCTCGAGTCCATAATCTTAGCATCTTAGGATAGTCAATCAAGTAGTCATCACTTGCTTGAGATTTGAATCATCATCTCCTTTAAGGCTTGTGTCATAATCTCGCTTTTGTTGCAATCGGCTCCTTTAAGACTTGTGCACAATCTTGCTTTTGCTGGAGCTGCTTTCTTCATGCTTTAAGAAGTTTTAGCATTTCCTGTGCTACAACAACCTTCTTCAAGACCTACATAGCAACCTCAATTTTGCTGTAACCTTTACCGGCTCAAGACTTGTTTTATTTCCTTCAAGACTTATTTAGCCTGGATTCTCTTATGATTCATATCTCAAGAAGTATGATCAGCACCATTGGTCTCTACATCCTTTAATTAATTGTTTGTGCCCTTTGCCAAACTCTTTAAAATTTCCTCCATTTTTATGTTCCAATTGTTCTTTCTCCCTTTCTTGAAGCCTCTTGATTACCTGTAGGATCTTATTTGCAATGACTCTCATCCTCCTACCCTTCATAATGAGCTCAATGCGTCTATTAGCACTATTGCAGATAGTTCTTGTATCGAGATTTGGGGTGGTTCCTCTGCCCTAGACTTTTGGGTGTATCTTCCATTATTATATATTAGATGAAACCGTTTGGTATCCGGACCAGTTGGCCATTTACTAGATGAATTTAATTAGTCCCATGGCTATACAACAACCATTGTTATTATAGCAAAATTAATATTATAACAAGCTGGGCTTTCTATAAATTCAAAATGAAAGCAACCATGATATATACCTCATTGGTCCTCTTATTTCTTCAACTTTATCACTTATTGGCATCAAATCAACAAAATCCTGTTCTTCTTTTTTGAAAATAGCTTCTAGGCTGTTGCTGCTTCTTCCAGAATTGGATATGCCATTAGCCATCTCCATAACTTTTGAGGTCATTCTCCCAATAACCCACACCTTTAAATTCTGTTAAACAACAACAACAACATCAAGCCTTTGTCCCATTACATTGGGTCGGCTATCTGAATCATTTTTCGCCATTGTGTCATGTTAAACAATTTTTTAAAGGATTCATGTCATGATTAAAAATAAGAAGTTTTGTTATAAAAATTGATTTAATTTTAAAAATTCTGATAATGGGGAAATATATAAAGTGGCTCGTAAGGATGCTAAGAAAGCAATATGCGATGCAACAACATTAGCTTTTAGTGATTTATATAATAGATTAGATACTAAAGAGGGAGAAAGATATATATATATATATATATATTGTACTTTGAAATGAGAGACATGTAGCACAAATATTGTACTTTGAAGTGGTATCACTACATCTGATTGTACACATATCATCAATTTTTTGTGTTGTCGAGTTATGGAGCATAGGCTGCGGCGTGATACTGATGTTTCTCAAAATCAATTTGGATTTATGCCGGGTAGGTCGACTATGGAAGCCATACATTTATTCAGAGGTTTGATGGAAAAATATAGAGGAAATAAGGAGGATCTACATATGATATTTATTGATTTAGAAAAAGCATATGATAAAGTTCCAAGAGAAGTGCTATGGAGAGTTCTTGAAAAGAAAGGAGTTAATAATGCTTATATTCAAATCATTAAAGATATGTATGCATGAGCTATTACTTGTGTTCAAACACAAGGTGGATTGACCAAGTATTTTCCTATTTCGGTTGGGTTACATCAAGGATCAGCCTTAAGCCCATATTTTTTTGCTTTAGTCATGGATGTTCTCACTAGACATTTGCAAGAGGATGTACCTTGATGTATGCTTTTTGCTGATGATATTCTTCTTGTTGATAAGACTAGAGAAGGAGTTGAAGGTAAACTTGAATTATGGAGGTCAACCTTAGAGTCTAAAGGTTTTCATTTGAGTAGATCTAAAACGGAATATATGAAGTGTAATTTTAGTAGTAATAGACCTAGTGAGGGGATTGTGACTTTGGGTGATCAAGTCATTAATAAGAGTACACGTTTTAGATATCTTGGATCTATTGTTCAGAGTGATGGTGAAATAGATGGGGATATTATCAGCAGAATTCAAGTTGGATGGTTGAAGTGGAGGAATGCATCGGGCTTGTTATATGATAGAAATGCACCCCTCAAACTTAAGGCAAAATTCTATAAGATGGTAGTGAGGCCTGCAATGCTTTATGGTGCCGAATGTTGGCTATTAAAAGAAAAGCATAATGCTAAGTTAAGTGTGGCAGAGATGAGGATGCTCAGGTGAATGGGTGGCTTTACCCTTAGAGATAGGATACGAAATGAGCATATACGTGAAAGGGTTGGAGTAGCTGTAGTAGAAGATAAGATTAGAGAGATGGTTTGGTCACATAAAACGGCGGCCTTCCGATGACCCGGTTAGTAGAGTAGAGGTATTAGATTTGACTTATGTTAATAAATGTAGGGGTAGACCTAAAAAGACTTGGTTAAAGAATATTAGGAATGACCTTTCTTTATTAGATTTAAACGAGAATTTGACTTTTAATAGGACACAATGGAGAAAAAGGATTCATATAGCCGATCCCACGTAGTGGGATAAAGGCTCGATTATGTTGTTGTATTCATGTCATGATTATTGGCCGTCGACTACTTTACGCAATTCTTCATTTTTCTCATCCAAGACTTGGGACCTGACAACGACAGTGTTAACCTTCAGATTCTATTAAAATTTAGCTATAATCGGAATGGATCGAACTTGATCTTCACTTGAGAAAGTGAAGGGGATGGTGAGATACATTTGAACGTGTGGAATCCTCCAATAGGTGACTTTTTATGTGTATGGGTCTGTTGAGCCTTTCCACCTTTTCCGGGAAGCTGCAGAAGTTCCAGTAGGTGCAACTGCAGTAGCTCCTGTACATGGATATGAGCATATTGTTATATTATAGTATTTTATTTAAGCATTCATTTATAAAACTATTTTGGTTATGAGGCATGCATGTGAAGTTTGAGGTGATGTTACTGACCAGGAAGAAAATATCTTTGGTGCGAGAAATTATTAGGTGCGGACTTCGAACAAGTTCAAGAATAACTATATTTGAATTCCAATAAAATCATGACACATGGTTTGGACACGTGGATTTTGTATTTTATTTTGCTCTTGCCAGCCCAACTAATCCGGCCTAGAGGTGATCGTTTTTAATTTTTGAAAAAGGACTTCACCGTCTAGTTCGAATTTAGGGCTTAGGATTGGCACTCCTTTTTAAAGAAAAAACCCGTGAGAGCTTTCCAATATTTAGGATTTTAAAAAATAAGGAACAATCAATGAACATGAAGATTGGTTTGGAGGAGGACATTAAATTTTTTTGAGTAGATGATATGCCCATAAGACGTGAAGGCCAAAAAACAGTATGCAAACGTCCAGGAAGACTTGATGTTGAAAAAATTGCAGCCTTAAGCAATGATAGGTTTATGGTATGAAGAGGAAGTTACGTTTGTTGGACGTGTTGTAGGTTTCAACTTATCGGTAAATTTTAAACTCATCCTAAGTTTTTAGGGTTTTTTGTAATAACACATTGTGCACAAGCATGTAGACAATCAATACACATCTGTATTAATATATGAAAGCTTGTATACACCTTATACAAGCTATGTTCATATGTGTATTGATATTGTACAAACTTTTTATTGATTGTGTACAAGCTGTGTATTGACTATGTATTTATTTTGTTATTTCCCTTTTTTTAAACAAGACTTAATATTGTTCAATACATACTAAATATCACCTCTAGGCTGGGTCGGTCGGGCCGGCAAGAGCAAACTAAAATACGAAATTCACGTGTCCAATCTACGTGTTCAATTCATGTCTCACAATTTTATTGGAGTCCGGACGCAGAGCTACGTCTAAACCCTGCACCTAATAATTTCTTCTCCTTTCAGAATGAGCTGTCTTTACTCTGTATCTATTCATATCTATAATTCCTCACTGTTCTCTATAGTGGCAAACTCTTAGCCCCATAAGGTGTCATTATGGAATTACAATCATTCGTACTATATTTTGTTTGACT